GTCCCTGAACACCATTAAGAAAACTTAATTTCTTATCCCAGAATTCTTCCGGATCCTAGAATCACAGTTTTCCATAAGCACCTAACTTTGACTGCAGGTAGATAAGCCATGCAGAGAGGGATGGGATGGGATTTCTAGCATTTCTTTTTTGTTTTCTCAGCATATCCAGGTCTATATGCTGAGTGTTGTGCATTTTGCTACTAAATCTGAATCATTCACACTAACTGTACATAGATGCTGGAGTTACGAATGCAGGTGCTTGCTCTGAATCAACAAAGAATAGAAAAAATAGTAATTAAATTAAATTACAGGAGAACTTTAAGCTAAATATTAGGAGAAAATATATCAATAAGGACAATTACATACTGGTTCACAGGAACTATTGGGTATTCACCAGAGGAAGTGGTTTTTTGTTTGTTTCTATGAGACTATTAAGCAAACATCAGTCAGGAAATAGTTGAGCTTGACTGGGAATAAGGGACATGTACTTGATTGCCTGTTCTGGCGCCCTCCAGATCTACTACTCACTTCAGTTCTACCACTGTACTGCTGGGAATTCCCTTCCAGCATTGGAATCTATCAAGTGCGCAGGTACCTGTGCACAAGGGACTTACTAAAGCTCACACATGACGCTTCAAGCACTGAAACAGCCTTCTTCTCATGAAGGATTTTTTAATAGATCAGCAAGGAACAGTACTCAAAATACTTAAAAATTTGTTATGGCTAAAAGCTGCTTCCCCACACTGAATAAACCATTATCAAAATGGCAATATGTTGTAAGATGTCTGATAAAACTAGTGCATACACTTGGAGAAATAAAGAAAGCAAAAACTTAATCTACTCCAAATAAGAGAGCTCCTTTCACTACGAGTTCTCGAAGCCAAAATACATCTACCCTGTGACAGAGTAAAGCGGATGATGAGTTTAACAGACAGCACCATTGCATTTTTAATGCATTTATGAGAGACAAAATAGGAAATAATATTTAAAAAGCTACACATCTTGATGTAAGAAAGATGAAAATATGACTAAGAGTTCTATTATATAATGTGTATTTTTCTTGACATTATAAAAGACGTTATCAGTCCAATCCAAACAGGAAAGTCATAAAGATACTAACCAATCTGAGAAGGTGAATTTTACAACTAAATGATTATCTGGTAGGAAATCATTAAGGTATATTGCTAAGTAGGACTGAAATGCTATTTGGAATGCCAACCACAGTAGCAACTAAAGTGTTAATTATCAACAAATTCTACAGTTTGTGTTATGTTAGATGCAGGATCTTGTATCTGAAAACAACTCTGAATCAGCAGCCATTATTAGATCTAGGTTTGTATCAAGCCACCATTCACAGGTTTGCAGAATGCCTTCAGATATGCCCCCAGACCAGTGTGTTTCTAGCATAATTTTCATCACAATTAACTTAACTTTTCAACTATAAACACAGACAGTGAAGGACAATGATTACAATGAGATCACCATGGGTAATTTGCACAACTTTGCATATTCAGGGATTCCGCAAATGGTTAGTATTGCTGGTGTTATGTACAAGCATCAAATTGCCCTATCCTGTCTCCTGTTTCTTCTTTCAGTGTTGATGACCTCTGGAAAAGAAGGAAAAAACTTCCTCCTCGCTCTGGCTTTGGTGTCTTCAGAGTTGGGAGTCCTAAAATTCATCCTGGATTTAGAATATGTTTCAAAAACATTGTTGTATGCCAAATCCTATACTGTGAAAAAGAGCATAAATAAAATGGAAGACAACTTCATACACTATACATGCATTTTTGTTAGTGATGCAGCAAACTTTTATGTTGAAAAACCTCTAGTTTTGTAATACGAGTCAGTCACCGAGGATTGTGAATCCAGGCTCTGAGACTCCACACGGCACAGAGTTCTATGTTAGCAACTTATATTTCAGCACTGGGGCCAAAATGTGCCCTTTAAATTCTACAGTTCAAAAAGAGTTAGCAATAATGAATCTGAAAACAATTACAGATCTGAAATTTTATTTCTGCATTCCTCACTTTATTTCTGGAAACTTGGACTTTATTCAGAGAGCCTCAAGGTATTAAAAGACAAAAATGAAGAACCTAATTAGACACAAGTGAAACAGCTAACTAAAACTCCATGGAGCACAGGAAACGATTAAATATTTCTATTTTAAAAAGTACATTTGTTCATACTCTCCAAATATTTTTGTCCTTTTAGATCGAGACTTCTTTGCTCACCAAATGTTTAGGTAAACATTTTTGTACAGCGTCCAGCAAAATGGAAACCTAAATCCAATTAGATTATTTATCAAAAAACCTTAATACTATCATTTAATACTCAAAAAACTCCGACAGTCCACCTGTAAAATGCTCAGAAATTAAAATCTTATGTGTATTCAATTTAAAAAAGTCAACCTATATCACTTGTAACCTTAGACTATTTAAGATGATTGTGGGAGCTTGTATGAGAAATGCTAACCTTCTGAGTTTTGTAATCACAATGAATTATGGCAAAGATCATCACAGTTCAAAATCAAAACACTGTGGCTACCTGCTTTCATCAGACTATCAGGTCCTGCACAGTTTTTGACAAAAGTTCTCTTAAAGTGGGAGTAACCAGTCTGGAGAAAACCTTCATTCCATGACTTACAGTATGTACAGTCTCCATACTAATATACACACAAAAGCAGTTCATATGAAAATAAGCTGCTACTTAAGCCAAACAGAAGCTATACTGAGCTATTCTACTAATATAAAATAGGTCTCATGTACTTCGTATGTATAGTAAAACGAGGACTGAATCTGCGACTCTTTGTTTACAGTAACATATTTCAGTTTTTTGATTTTGTGCCCTGTAGGAATATGGTTTTTATTTTACTATTGATTTTTTTAATCAATGAAGCCAACACATATTCCTCTCTGTCAAACACTTAATACACTGTGAAATATAAAAGGCACTTTAAGATTAATTACTCTCAATTATATTCCAATTCTGCCTCTTCTGGCTTTAAAAGCAGTCATATTTGTCAATCACAGGTTGCAAGCATTGCATTGCATTTGATAAATTAAACAGCAGGATGATTGAAAATGCAGTTGTTCATCAGTGGAAGGTAAATGACTTATTTCCAGATTTCATTATTTGAAGATAACACCTTTTATCTACATCGCTGCATTTTTATGCAGCATTCATCAGTTCCCATAGACATTCAGTCATAGAATGTGATTTGCAAGAATATCTGGCTTCTTGATATTCGTAAAACTGGTCCAGTTTCATATAAGTCCACCTATCAGGATGTTATTAGTTCAACAATATGAACGCGCTATTCAGTGCCACGTTCGATTTTCTTTTTCAAAAGAAAACATAAAACTATATCCAATCTCAACATTTCAAAGAGAGTTCTGCTAAAAATGCCCCCAAACTGTATTTTGTCCTAACAGTAGGGTTGTAGCAAGTTTTTCATAAGTTTCTCAGAGTTCCAAACTAACTCAGATTTCCTGAGGGGGCAGCAACAAGAACAATGAAAGATCTCTACAGACATACAATGGAAATTATGCAAAATTCCAACCCAGGAGCCACACCAAAAAGTCCTAACTGGCACTGTGCACATCAGGGACCACATGCCAACCAGAGTAGGATGCAGTCCAGCTATTCAGCTTCCTACAACCCGCATCCATGTGCCAAGAATTCAAAGTGAGATCAAAATCATGTTCTACGTCTTTCTTTTCTTGTATCAGCAGTGCTTCTAAACAAAAGCCTTAATGTAAAAGTGAAGAGTTCTTATAACAGTACCTCTTTTTATACTTTTCATCAGCAATCTTAATAAGTAATCTCAACTAATTTCACATCATATATGTCATGAGCTGAGAAAAATGTTAGATGCATTTTGTTTCAAAGACAAAGCAAAATGCTTCTCTTCTGTACTGAAAACTACATTCTGAAAAGAAAATTACTAGAAACTTAAAAAACATATTTTGTGATGGAAATGAAAAGAATACATTAGCTATTGCCACACTTCCAGGCATGAATGCCAATAAAACCTCTAAGCTTCACACAGAATTGAAGCCAGTGTTTCAAAACTAGCCACAACACCAAATTCCTCAGAAAATTCTGAATTTGAAGCTGACCAGAAGCCTTGTGTCATAGTCCTCATGAATCACCTAGAAAGACCTAGAAGAAAGTTAAATAGATTTCCTATCCAATTGTTCTAAAAAGATTTATTTATCAGGATCTCAACCCCATATAGTAGAAGCAGCCCAGTCACAAAGTCTTACAGTACAACAAGCTAACAAACATCTATTTCTCATCTATTTCTGTTGTGCCAGAAAGGCATGACCAAAGTCATGCAGGACTCACCAAATTAAAGTCAGGTGCATACTCAAAAAGGTAATGATACATTTTTACTCAGGACTCTGCTGAATCTAGCTAATTTAAATAGAGTTGACAGTGAATGAGAAGTGAACCTGTCCAGCAAGGGAATATACGCAATGAAAGTTACATCATGAGTTCTAAAAAGTTCTAATTATAGTTGAATGCCTTTTCATTTTGTACTCAGCTGACTAGTTCATATGAAATCAAGTAATGAAATCTTCATCTTCCTGTATATGGCAGCTTAAGCAAATTAATAGGTCATTGCTATAGTGTTCCTAGTGGTCAGCTTTATGTACAGTACATAAAGCTGTGCTACAGGGGAGATACCATTCTCCTCATCTCTGATGGCACATAACATTTCAGAATCAAATACTAAAAAAACTTTAAGAAATAAGCTTTTAAGAATAACTCTGACTGCAAGATTTGGTTGTTTGCAAATTTTCAGGTAAAAAGACGGACATACAGATCAAGAACAGCATGCAACAGCCTACATATTAATAAAGTTCACGAAAGTATACTAGACCTCAGTTTTGCCTGTAAAGCTGAATCCTAGACAAATGCATGAAAGGACTAATGGTGCACAGTGTACAAATAGCTTCTGTAATTTTGGAGGGAAAATAAGCAAAAACGTTACTTACAGATTTGTCATCTGATCCACTGGCTATAAACCGCCCGCAAGGAGATACTGCAATTCCACATGGATGGCAACGGCTAATGTGCCCTTCAAAACGACGTTCACACCTTCAGAGAAATGTCAGGAAGTCCTATTAATACCAACTAAAAACTAGCTAGCATTTTCATACAATCTTTTTGCATTCTCATTTTTCTTTCTTAGTCTACAGATATACTAAATCCACAAATTAAGGTTTAAATCTCTCTGCAGGAAGATTTTGACAAAACTCAAAAGGCATTACAGAATATCATCTATTAAAAATAAAACGAACACACAAAACTACTGCAGGACAGTGCCCAAAGCTATGCTTTGGATTTGTCTAGTTTACAAAGATAGACAGAGTATTAGTACTTAGAAATGAGGGGCTGCAATGTCTACCATTAAGCTACCCCTAATTAGCCATTTAAGCAGGGAAAGCCAAAAACCCCCTGCATTTGGAGGAAGGTGCTGTGAAAGCCAGCCTGCTGGGTGAAGCTTAGAAATCTCCTTCAAGCAATTACCATCCAATCAAGATCCAGTACGTGGAATCCAAATATAAATAATTATTGCTTGCTTTTCTTATTCCTTAATCTGTATATTTAATCTCTGCTGCTCTGTTTACATTCCTACACCATGCACTAATTTACTGGATCTTGTAAATTCAAGAAAGCCAATATATCAATGAGGTCCCACACCGATAAATCTAACCACCTACAAAATAACTGCAGATAACTTGCTAGTTATCTGTGTTAATACAATCCAAAGGAAGGAATGCATTTAAATTTAAAGCAAGCAACTGATTACTTGCTTTTAGAGTTAATATTGCAGCGTAGCATTGTAAAGTAATTTTTTTAATAGCTGAGCACATTCAGCACATTGGAAGAAATAAAGAATTTTTTAATGAGCTGAAGATTAACATTCATCTAACAAACAACGGTACTGCTTTAAAGAATTGTGATAGCTTAGTAATTATGATACAGCTGAAGAAAAAAAGCAGTATTTAGAATTCTGTTTCCATTTTAAAAGCCATTCTTATATGTGTAAAGCTTAAACAGTTTCCACCACGCTGAGAATGATTATTTACAAATGGGTGCCTCATTTCAGAGCTTTATTTTCATACCCATGAAAAGGTGTCATTTCACTACAGACTTATAATAGACTTCTTTTGTCTTTTTTATGGAAGCTATCACACTACCTTTCTCCGTATTAAAAAAAAAATGCATATACCATTATACAACAATCACATATTCTTACTATTACACATGCTAGGTCCTGGGACAAATTTGAGAGAGTGACATCTCCGGTCAGCACCTGTGGTACACTCTTTTCCCTGGCCAGTGAAATCACAGATACTGTGTTAATCTGACTGACTGAATCTACTTGCAGAAATAGCTAAACTGTTATACCACAGTGTTCCTTTTTAGAGCCTCATGTATCTCTAAGAATGTCAAGCTGATATCATTCAACCACGTGAAAGAGGCATACTTTCTGATGGAACCGATTCAATGGCTATCATCTAGTAAAGCATAAAAAAGAAACTTGTGAATGAGTGAAAATGCATCATTTTACAGAGCCCAACTTGGAACTTCCACAGACAGTATACATATATATATAGCTAAAACTCTGCACATCAGAACTACTGATTTCAATGGACATTTTGAGCATACAGCAATACAAGATCAGACTCTTCATCTCAGGGTAGTTCTACCCGAAAACAAAAAAATGCAAAATAAAAAAATGTAAATGTAAAAAGTGTAAATAAGACAATTCAAGAAAACACTGTGATTCAGAGAGAAGTAACTTATAATCACAGTAATTGACAGGCTTTAAGATGTAAAAACATTCTCCCACCTCAGTTTGCACACAGCTCTTGTATTAATGATAAGAGACTTTCAATTACCAACAGCTACATTCTGTCCATTGAATAACCTACCTCTCTTCAAGTTTCATACTGTCTTTAAAAGAAAATAGTAACTACCTCAGTTTCCTCTCAATTGCAGCATTCCAACATATATGACACTTTCAAAGAACTGCGCTTACTGGAAATTAAATAACTTAAAAGAGAACCTAAAGGACAATACATGCTTCCCGTACTTCAGTTTTGCTCCACAGCTTTCCCGTTCAAGAATTTTTCTGTCATTTTTCAATAAATATTTACTTTGCATACATTGCTCTCAACATTTACATCTGACTAGACAGAAGGCCTGTCCTTAAACATGACAAAACGAGAATCTTTTACGCTCACTATTTTAAAATCACTGTTCAAGTATGTGGAGTTTTCACACAAGCCACTTCCTGAAAGCAAAGGTGTTTGTGATCTTCTAATTCCCCCTGGCTTTTCAACAAAAGGGGAAACCCTTTCCATGTGAATTTTATATATCTTGTAGACATTTTCTTGTTGATGTCTTACAGCATTCAGAAGACATATAAAGATATAGCATCCACTTCCTTCGAGAGGATGGTTGGGGAAGTGAATCAGAGGAACTTATTAGGGGGCTTTACTACCCGTTTAAGCAGTAAAGGCATTCTTGTAACTTTGGGCAAGTCTTTCCCTCAAATAGCTTAGCCAGCCAGCCAGAGAGAAATAAAAATGAAGTGCAGAAGCGTAAGCATCACCTGCCTGGTAGTCCTCTTCACGGCTAGGTGCGGCCTTGCCTTCATCTGGCCATTGATTTTTCACTCATGTGGTGTCTCCTACCAAGCATTATTCATTGTTGTGTAGTAACAGGTCTCTCCCAAAACTTGGCCCCCAGTCACATTTTCTCTTCTCCCTTCCAGATTCCCAGCTGTGTTTGGGAACTTCAGAGTCCCCCAAAAAAAAAAACAATATAGCCCTGCTCAGTACCCTTTCTCATTGTCACATACGGATAACTCTTCAGTTCCTTTTTCTTATTGTTGTAAAACACAACGGCATCCAAAGAAATACATGTCTTCATAAGAAAAACAAAAAAAATTCATATATCCTCTATCTCTTCTGAAAATGCTTTCAGAATCATCCCTTTTCTTCAGGTAGACCACTGACTATCAGGACTACTTCCCAGTGCTTAAGCCCTCCTTCTCAGTCCTTATAGAAGCTAACTTCCCCAGTGAGGTTTCTTCTCCACAGAGGAGTCTCCTGATAGACCACTGCCAACAACTTCTTTTCAAGAGAATTTAAGTCCTCTGCAGCTATGCCTGTAAACTCAAATTCCCTACCTATTTCCAGGTGGATGCATAAGAGCTAATAGAACTCCCAGGCTTCCACTGGTCTTTTCTCTGCTACACCACAGCCATGTAAAGCAAAGTTTGAGTCATTGGACGTACCATTTTCCCCATGCTAGCGTGTTCACAGTAATAACTAACATGCTGGATTCTATTTCCTTAGTTGTTTTCCTATTCAACTTTTCCACCATAATCAGAGTGAACATTCTGGAACAAATATAATTACCCCCACCATAAAAAATCCTACCCTAAGAAGACATTTCAAAATGCTGAGTCCAAATTAATTTTCCACAGGGTCTAGCAGAAACTTTTTTATGCAATCTATTAACTCCAGATATCGTCAGGTACTACAGTGATGGAAAGTGAAAAAATCTTACAGTAAACAGATATATATTATGTGTACAATCTTAGCTTATTCTAGGAGTTCTCTTACTTCAGTCATTTTTGAAAGGTGTTTTTTTTTCTTTTCCCGTGGCTTTTTAAGTAACAACAGGTGGTGATCAAACTTATTTTGGATATTGCAAGCTTAGCTTGGCCAGCTGGCACGCTGTCCAGCCTCCTAAGAATGCTTCTCTGGTCAGAGCTTTTCAGGGGTTACCATGACAAACATCTGGTAATTGTATAGGAGAGCAAACAGCCAAATTTTCTCTGTTCTCCATTGTACAGCTTTTAGTATACATTCCAAAATATGAATCTTTTCATGTCACAAACAACTTGTAGAAAACATGTTACATTTTTTCTAATATCCTGTCTTTGTAAGAGAAAGATATTAGAATGGCGCATATCTGCATAAATCAGGGAATACTCTAACAAATAAGTTTATTTCGTTCTATTTGTTGTATTAAGAATTAACTTTGCTGCAAGCCAGAGATTTCTTTTTTTAAACCGCTTTATCTTACATTCTATTGCTGGGTCCCTGTGCAGTAGTATTAGTTCAGCGATCCTTAGTTCAGAGTACCAGCAGGTTCACTGAGGCTCTATGACAATCTGTGTAGAGCTTGACTGTAGCAGTAGCTACCTCAGATGCTCTGTACGTGTGGATCTCATTTAAAACGCACACTGCACCCTTCAGGGAGCTCAACATGTTTTTACTAACAGTGACCATAGGTTCCCTATCCTGCTGGCCTTCACGTATGCCTAGTCCTAAAGTTGGAGGAACTCCAACCACTGCTTATGTCTTTCTCCCTCAGGATACAGATAACAAGAATCAAAGCTCTGGGAAACAAGATGGCAAGTCACAGGATCCTCACATTCAGAACAGACTGAGAAGTAATAAAACTCCGAGCATGTGTATATGTGTACCTTGCAGTCTGTTCACAGAGGAGATGGAAACTGAAAAATATCTGGAAATTGAAGGCCCACTCACTCAAACCGCATGTCTGACCCTAAGGATCTCACTGAAGTGTAATGGTTAGAAAATGTATCAGATGAGTTCCATGTGGCTGCAGGAATTCTACTAAAAATTGTTGCCAAGGGAGCTTAATGATCTAGTTGCGCAGGATCATAATACTAGTTGGAGACATTATCTTAAAGTGAAAAGCTGTCTTTATACAATTGGCAAATCTTTTCAGAGTGTGAAAGAGGCAGAAACTGATTTTACCTGAGATTTTCCATTAAAGCATTACCACAAATCTGAACGACCTGCAGAAGAAATTCAGTATGTCCAAGTAGTATAACAATATTCTTCAATATCTTCATTTGAGGTTCAACAAGCACCCCCTGCCTTTTCCCAGAAAGAGATGAAGAATGGCTGTTTTAGCAGCAAGCGCTCAGAGCAGCTGAACTACTCCTCAGCTGTTCAGAGTATGAGTCAGAGACAGGCAGCTGCTGCCGCTAAAGGCATTAGGTGTGGGGTTGGGAGCTCCTCCCAAAATCTTGCCCCTGCCAC